TAGCTATTTATTATTAGCATTATTCTTCCGACGTCTGATTTCTTTTTAATTATAGGAAATGCGTTTTTCTAAGGTACATAAACTTTGGGATTGACTGTATAGCCAATACATCCTTAATTATTCCGGTGTCACACATATGTACATGTGTTTGTTTTGCATTGTAACATCGACAGAATAAAAATACGCTTTACGAATTTGATTAAATATGATAAGATTTAAAGATCTGTTATCGTGTTATCAGATCGTATCCCGCACGACTTCTTACCTTGATCATGTTCGCTCGAATAACCACGTACAACTGTTCGCTGATCGGAGAACGCAACCGATACTTTTATACGATACGAACAGCGTGGCGACACCGGTCCCACAACATGAATCGACGTTTTATTTCGTCGAGCGCCAGAGCCCCGCAGGCGTCGAGCTGTTTTTCTCCTTTTTATGTCTACCTGTTCTCACGCGTGGAACCGGCGAGACTCGAGGAGGATCCGATGATGGAAAAACGATAAATCACAGAACTTTAGCTATCGATTTCCGCGAGATCGGGATTTATTGCTTTCGATCGTTTACGCTATCCGATAGTGTTTTTTGATACCGGCACCGAGACGAATCGCTTAAATAATAATAATGTCAGTTACCGCGGAAAGTGCACGAGCGATTGCGAGGTAAATATTATTTCCCGAGAGGAAACAAATTATCCGCGAGATCCGTTTTACGTCTATTTATCTGAAAAGAAGGTATCGGATTCTGCGAAATCGTAAGAAGAAACATCGTTCGAGATGCTTCCTCTCTTTTTTTTCTCTGTTTCTGATACCTACGCCGGTACGGCGGATAATCAAGTGACACCTACGCTACTTCTGCGTCTTTTAAGGTGCAACGACATTTACGGGAGAGCGAACGCGCCGCTACGGACGTGTGGTCACCGACGGGGAAATCGACGTCATTTTAACCCTCTTCCAGGCGATTAACCCTGGCTATTATAAAACTATCCCTCGATGGCGTAAACCTCGAGTGCTCTAAGGGGAAGCGTGACGTCACGATCTTTCCGCGTGCCTTGACATTTCTCACGTCACACCTAACTTTCTTTTCGTTACTCAACGGCGGTACGCGTTTCTTCGCCCTAAGAAAATTTGATCGACGTTTCTCGGTCTTTCCAAAACTCGTTAAAAATAAACGGTTTTCGCGCGCCTCCATCAAACACGCCTACGACACGCGCGTGAAAACAATTACGTCTTTCCTTCTACCATCGATTAAACGACCGGCCTCCGCGCGAACACGTGCCGTCCTGATCGAATCCTTGTTCTGACTATTACACAATGCATTTGAAAAATATCGTGTTAGAATCCGCAGTTTCCCAATGCGTGAACACATTAGCCAGGGGAACTCGGTAAACGATTCCGAGCGTAAATCAACCGATGCAATTCTCTAACGGTGACAGTTTGGAAATTGAAACTGTTACCCGATTTAAAGTGTCGCGCAACCACCGAGCTATGTGTACATAATTAAAATATCACGCACACACGTAAGGCGTCGTTCGCTGGTTTCCGTTGGACTCGTCGCTTCATAACAACACCGGGCGACCTAACGATTTCAAGTTCGAAGGTAACGAATCGTGATTCTTAAATTAGTCGTTCGCTCAACACGTCTCGAATCGTTCCGGTTTCTGCTTATGCTTGCATCTCGTTTTCGCCACGAAACAGGGAAAACCGAAAATACACGCACCGGTCCCGTTTGACGTAGGACCAGGAGTAGTTTCGAAGTAAACGAACCGGGCGAAATCGATCTGCCGTTTGTTTGGAGAATCCAGCCGCGCACGTCTAACGGTGGTTGACTTTGCTAGTTTAGTTTAAGAACGGCTTCGGATTCCGTTAAAGCCCAGCGTGCGGTCTGATCCTTGGTTTCCCGGTTTTCACAAAGTTTTATTTAATCGCCGAAAATGGATAAGCAACCGCGCAAGGTTCAGGGAAGAGCCTCGATGTCGTTTCCCGTACCAGACGGTGTCCTCGACGTGGACCAGCTCTTGGAAGTTGATCCATGGAACGAGATAAACGATTTCATCCAGCAGAATTTCGCGCAAGATGTTCTGAACGAATTCAACGAACGCTTCAAGCTCGATCCACAGTTCAAGCCCCCAGGTAAGTGTAAGTTTTCTACGAATACATTACAGGATATTTCATGTCCGACGTTGACTGCAGAAGACCAAGGGAAAAAGCGATCGCCTCGTAAAACTCCAAAGAAGCAAACGGGTAAAGAGAAACCAGAGACGGAAGCGACAGACGACCATCTGCAGGCAGACGGTAATCCAAAACCAAGAAAGAAACCAAGAAGGGTAAGATCCACAAAGGTCGACAAGGAGGATAAGACGGTTCCAGAAGAGAAGGAGGATAACAAGGAAAATACTGCACCTAAGAATAAAGGTAAAAGGCAGACTAAGAAGGAAGCGAGTAACGATGAAAATAAATCAACGAATCGACAAAGGAAACCGAGAACGCGTGTTAAGAAAAATTCAGCGCCGTTGTCCACGAGCAACCAGGAACAAGTAGTAGAAGCTTGTTCAGTAGAAAACGGTATCCAAAATGAAAGTACGAGTAAGAATGCGAATAGAACGGAGAGTGCAGTATCAGTCAACGGGAACTGCACGATCTCGCCGGTCGAACCAGTAGATGCATCTTCAGTAGTAGAGAATACTCAAAATGAAAGTACGAGTAAGAGTACGAATAGGAGAAGAAGAGTACCAGTCAACAGGAACAGCAAGAAGTCATCGATGAAAACAGTAGTAGATGCCTCTTCAGTGGCAGAGAATACCCAAAATGAAAGTACGAGTAAAACTGCGAATAGGAGAAGAAGAGTACCAGTAAACAAGAACAGCAAGCAGTCATCGATCAAGCCAGTAGTAAATGCGTCTTCAGTAGAGGAAAATACACAAAATGAAAGTAAAAGTACGAATAGAAGAAGTGGAGTATCAATCAACAGCAGCTGCAAGAAGTCACCGATCAAACCAGTAATAAATGCTTCTTCAGTAGAGGAAAATACCCAAAATGAGAGTACAAGTACGAACAGAAGAAGTGGAGTGTCAATCAACAGTAGCTGCAAGAAGTCACCGATCAAACCAGTAATAAATGCTTCTTCAGTAGAGGAAAATACCCAAAATGAGAGTACAAGTACGAACAGAAGAAGTGGAGTGTCAATCAACAGTAGCTGCAAGAAGTCACCGATCAAACCAGTAATAAATGCTTCTTCAGTAGAGGAAAATACCCAAAATGAGAGTACAAGTACGAACAGAAGAAGTGGAGTGTCAATCAACAGTAGCTGCAAGAAGTCACCGATCAAACCAGTAATAAATGCTTCTTCAGTAGAGGAAAATACCCAAAATGAGAGTACAAGTACGAACAGAAGAAGTGGAGTGTCAATCAACAGTAGCTGCAAGAAGTCACCGATCAAACCAGTAATAAATGCTTCTTCAGTAGAGGAAAATACCCAAAATGAGAGTACAAGTACGAACAGAAGAAGTGGAGTGTCAATCAACAGTAGCTGCAAGAAGTCACCGATCAAACCAGTAATAAATGCTTCTTCAGTAGAGGAAAATACCCAAAATGAGAGTACAAGTACGAACAGAAGAAGTGGAGTGTCAATCAACAGTAGCTGCAAGAAGTCACCGATCAAACCAGTAGTAAATGCTTCTTCAATAGAAGAGAATACCCAAAATGAAAGTACGAGTACGAATGGAAGAAGTAGAGTATCAGTCAACAACAGCTGCAAGAAGTCGTCTATCGAAATAGTAGATTCTTTTTCGATGGAATATAAACCCGAAAATGAAAGTACGAATAAAAGCATGAATAAGAGAAATGCACCATCAGCCATCAGCAACTGCAAGAAGTCGCCGGTCACCACGAGCACGCCGAAACGCAACATTTCACGAATTAGCAACTCCACTGAAACGGAGACTGTTATCGCGAACTATGACTTATTGGCGAAGGATTTTTCTGTAACGAGCGATATTTCCATGAAGAAGCACCGCGAGATGAAAGAAACTAGCGCAACAAAGAATCTGAATAACAACAATAACACCGAGTGCGCCGAGGCGAAATGTCAGACAGCTGGTAAACGAGAGAAACAGCGTATGGACAACGAATCAAAAATATGCAAAAAAAGAGGAAAGTGCAACAAACATCGGGATGAGAAAACGGCGACGACAGGTGAGCGCGGACTCTCCCGTTGGATTATTACGCCGTTTTGGTAACTGTTTGCTTTCTTTTTACAGAGAAAAAGCTGGTCGGAGCGTTCGAGAAACGACTGATCGAACACCGAGAGAAGCAGAAAGACAGAAGGATACGTCGGCACGAGAAGAAGGCTGAAGCGGCTATGGAAAAATTCAGTCACCACGTCATACGCATCGTGAAAAAAATGGGTTATTTGCCAGGTACTGCAAATTATATGATCAGTACGATTCGTCATGTCTTAAATCAGTGTATCGTATCGAATTTAAAAATATGACTTTTTATTTTGCGAAAGAGAATTATGATCCCGGATCGAAGTCCGAGACAGAGGAACGTTGTCACTGCAGTGACTCGTCTTTCAGCGATTCGTCTGAATACGATTCCTGCTGTTCAGACGAGTCGTGTTCGTGCTGTACCTGGAGCACCTGCTCATCGAGCATGAGCGAATACACTATATGTTCCTGTGCCGACTGCGAGGCTGCCTGAAGCCGAGACGAGAATTAGAACAGACGTCATCCACGGCTTAGCTCATCCTCGCGATCAATTTTTATAAACAAGACCAATTCCAATTTTAAAATACGACTGATTTTTGCGCGCGTGGCGCTGTTCTTATATTTAAGTTCCGTTCGCTAACCCTTCCGAATAAAACTTTACTTTCGTGTATTTTCTCATGTAACATTTTTAATCTCGTTCGTAAAACTTGCCTCCTACTAGCGAGCCTGCCTGCAGAGTCGTATCGATTTTATTATATTTCAAAGAAGATGTTTAGTAAACGTGAAATATGTATACGTAGAAGAAATCGAATAAAGAATGTTTTTTACGCCCCACCCGAAACAATTATGTGGCAGAAGTATTCTAAGATTCCTGTTCTCCGAGTTCCAGAAACTTCAAATCTACCGTAACGCATCTTCGATCGCACGGTCTAATCTAATGACTAATGACTCGAAAGCGAAACAGTCGACGATACATCGTATTACCTAGTTCCATCGTAACGGTTTTCTCTATTTATATCTCCGATATCGTCGCACTGGTATGTATGTATGTATGTATGTATGATCCCATCCCTATGGACATCGGTATACTTGACACACATTTTAAAAATAATATCTGGTTTAAATTAAATTTCACCTGAGGAGTACGCGTATCATTCGGGAAATCGGTATATCCGTCGTGCGTGTCGCGAAATCCTCATCTAAGCGTTCTATACGCGCTGCTACGGCAGCGAGCCTGAGATCGCTACTTTTGCACGTGCTAGGGGACCACTCGACAAACACGAGTGTGTCTACCGGAGGAAAAATCGTTAAACTTATCTCCGATCTCGAGACCACCAGTCACATCCTAACGAGCAATTACCTCGACTCGATCTACGGAAAAAATCAGCATGAAGTCGATTCTGCCCGTCACACCCTTATTTTATTTTCTCACTGCGTCGCGCAATTATTCCCGATCGTCCTTCTTCATTCTAAATGTTTGAAAGAACTGTTGCAATAACTGACTAGACCTCCAAGTTTAAAGGGTCGTTAAAAATTGATGCGCCTGTAACTATGAGTTTTTTATGGCATATGTATTAAACCGTTTAACTTGTTACTTTCACACCCGGGTGCTTCGAAGCCCGGTCTACCCCACAGACTCTGTACGTCTGCGCGTCTCGGCCCGGTCTATAAAAGCGACCCAGGGCGTCGCGGCGGCTCCAGAGACGCGAAGTACGCGCATTGCTGAAAATGTGATCGCATTGAGTACAGTTTTACGTTCCATCGTTCGACAGTTTCATTGCGAGATCAATTAATTCAGTGCTTCACGTATCGCGACACGTCGTCGCAGCGAAAATGTAACTGAGAGGAGTCTGAACACAGTTTGTGACAAGTTACACCGTCAAAATCTCGCCGTGAACCGTATCCCATCTGTGCGCTAGGATTCGTACCTACCGGAAGGACGATTATCGCCGTGGTAAGTTCGCTTAAAAATCTGTCTAACGATCTAACGAATGAACTTGACAGAATAAAAATTAGAGTGTAAATGAGACGAAACCGCTTTGACATACCCTCAATCCGCCCGTGACGTTCATTGCTGTTCTCCCTCTTTTTCCCTTTGAACTCGGCGTTTCTCTCGATTGTACGGAGGGACACACACATAAACCAAAATATTACTTCACTAATCTCCGGCAAGCGTTAAAATAGACCCGGTAAACAGAAACTCTAAATATAACCGCGTCCGCACAGCTTGTCACAGGCGAACCGGTGAGAGCCGACATAGATGTTAGGAAAGAAAGAAGTAAAAAAATAATATAGGACTGGGAATTCTGCGAATCGAGGGGTGCGCGATTTACGTAAAGAATCACGAGCGGCATAAAAATACTGAGTCGTCGGCGCGCGGACCGAAATTCGGAGAGGAAGGATTTTATTTCGGTGCGAAACGACCGGCAATAAAATCCAATCGCGTAACCAAAGAGTATTAAAAACATCGATTGTTTCGCTTCCGAGTGAATCGACTGCTTGAAAAAAGAGCAAAAGACGGTAAAACGGATTCGGAATGACGTACGACATCGACAAATAAACTTCTTCCACGAATCGTTACTTTTCTCGCCTCCGACGCGATCGGTGGTATACGTAATAACTATGTCCGAATTTATTGTCCGTTTACAAAATCTGTCCCATGAATCCGTATTGCTACTGTTTATCCCATACTACTGCGAACATATGGTTCATTCTTTATCACGTTTCTTTTTATACAGATATACACGTTAGGTAGTAGTAGAATCCTAATTGAGACAGTGGCGATATGAAACGATAACGGAACGGTTTGACGCGCGTTGCCGCAGCGAAATCCTTGCTATTGATCTAGTCAGCTCAAAAGGTCCTGGGTTCACCCGGCCAACCTCCACCGTCCTCCTCTCGCCCGACCGCCCTCCATTTCGTCCTTTCACACGCCTTATCAATACGTTTTCAATTTTCCCAGGACTTCCTAACAAGAAAATTCATTTTGCACATCGTTCCCGGAGTCCAACCATATTGGCGTGAATGAAAATTGAGAGACCCATTTATCGTGACCCTTGATCTTTAAAAATCATCTACTGGATTCACAGGCTGCGTAATAAATTTGATTCCATAATAAAATCGCGTCCTGTCGTGACTCCTAGATAGAAGTAGCGAGCGAAATAACGAGTGAACAAGTTAATTGGACAAAAAATGAGATCTTGTTTCATCTTTCGAACGGGCAAGGGCAAGGCTGATTCTTGAATCGAGGGTTCAATGCCCTCTCTCGCTGATAAAAACCCGTGCAAGTGTTAAACGCGTTACACGCTCGATCGGTCGTACACCGTCACAGGATTTACACTCGTATGCGCCGATGACGCAAACGGAAAAGTAGAAAGACTTTTCCCTGTCGGGCGTTTACGATCGCACGCGAGGGGAACGAGTAGAGGAGAACGGTCTGACGGAGATCGATCGATCTCTCCGAGTTATCTCTAAAGAAAGATCTAGCAGCGCATTAATCTAGAAGCTAGAGCTATTGTGGGATTCTCGAGCACCCAATTTGGCAAAATCGATTCGAATCTGTTTAACGTTAGAACTGAATCATCGAGCTTCCATCAGCCATTTATTAATTGACAGAAGTTCGTCTTTTTATAGAATTTCGAATTAAACGTCGACTTCCAATGTTCAATTGCAGATGAAACTTCACGAGAAAAAGGAGTCCGGTATTCACAGAGTGCAGGAGGTTCCACTGGAGGAGTTGGACCTCTCCAAGGAGTACGAAGTGGAGAAGACTCTCGGCGAGGGTAGTTTCGCGAAAGTTTTATTAGCGACTCATCGCGCGACGCGAACGAGGGTCGTCCTGAAGGCCGTTCATCAGGAGTTAACGACGGAGAAGGACTTTTTCCGCGAGTTTCACTACTCGTACCACTTGAGCCCGCACCCGAGCATCCTGTGCTCGTACGCGGTCGCGTTCAAAGCCGAGAAGTGTTTCGTTTTCGCGCAGGAATACGCGCCGTACGGCGATCTCGCGGGCAACGTGAGAGCCGGAGGCATCAGCGAAGACGCGTGCAAAAGGATCGCGAGTCAGCTATGTTCCGCGCTCGACTTTATTCACTCCAAACAGCTGGTTCACAGGGACATCAAACTGGAAAACGTGCTCGTATTCTCGTTGGACATGTCCAAGATCACGCTGTGCGATTTTGGGTGCACCAGGCGCGAGGGCACTTTGGTGAACAAGATCCGATGCACTTGGTTACCGTTCGAACCACCAGAGATCTATGAGATGGTGAAGAACGAGAGGTACCCGTGCAAAAGGAGCGCCGACTGCTGGCAATTCGGCATCGTCCTGTTCGTTTGCCTAACGGGGAATCCTCCGTGGCAAACCGCCGACCTGATTCAAGACCCAGATTATTCGGCATTCCAAAGGTGGTTGAAGAGAAGGACCACGAAAGTCCCTCCTAATTTCAGGCGATTCACGCCTAGGTTGCTCAGATACTTCAGGCGGACGTTCGAGCATAAGCCCGAGAAGAGGCCGCACGTAACGGAGATCAATAAGTATTTAAAGGACTCGTGGTGCGTGAACAAGATAAGTCACAGCGCCAGTTCGACGCTGGTCGACGCTAACGAGAGCATAGCAAGGAGAGGAGACAGTTTGCTCTATCTGGACACGGTTCTCGACGATCAGAGGAACGTGGACGAGAACAAGAACAAGCTGAGGAAGCTGTTGAACAGTTACGGCCTCGAGACGACGATCGATCAGAAAGTCGTCACCAAGAGGATTTGGGAGTGGGTGATGCAATGTGATTCCAACATCGCGGAACCGGCTTTCCCCGGCAGCCTCGGTACGGAAAGCATGTGAGGGATGGTCAGGGCTTCTAGCGAACCTTGCCTGAGAAGCGATCGCCGCGTACGGAAGTACAGTTTCGGTGGTTTTGACGCCACGCGCGAGGAACGCGCTCCGTCGCTGAGATGTGCCAATGTGACGGCGTTCGAGAGGACGGCGTCGGCCCGACACTTCCACTAGGGGACGACGCCCTCGCGTCGAGTCCTCGGACGGTGACCGGACACGAACGTAAAAACGTCTGATAATCCCTCCTATCATCTTCCTCATCCCCTTCTTTTTCAGTCTCAACCACCCACACGCATCTCTTTCTTTTTTCTCTTCAATCTCCTCTACAAGCGGACCAATTATCGAACGCGTATGCGCGTACGTGCATACACGTACTCTCTTTCTCTTATATGTATATACATTATCGCACGAGCATCTTTCGTACATTTCCTTTTACGACACACAGCTTCGTGACGGGAATCGCCTAAAGGGACTGTTAACGAAAATGACAGGCGGTTCCCCACCATTTTCCATGAATACGAAACGAATGTGATAAAAACCAAATAAAGAACTCGTTAAGACTGCAGCGTGCAGGCGGTCGGTGTATTCGTTGTCGACTAATTAGAGACAATAATGACTGCGGATTTCCTAGTAATTTATTACGTTATATGATAATCAGGCTGCGGATTTTTATGCAAACATCAATGCCAGTTAATTAACCGAATACGGATTGAAATTTATTTTATCGTTTAACCATTCGCTTCTGATGTTTTGTATATTTTTATTCACAGCGTACAACGTTTATTATTTTTGTATGAACGCGTAAAATCTGCAGTCTACTGATAATTATATTATAAAATTAACGAACGATAACCGGTAGGAGTCACTGTACGAGGCCTTTCGTAAAAATCGACGGGTCCGTCCCGCTTGTACAAAGGCAGAACGGATCTCTGAGAAAACCTCGAACAGAGGTTCAGGCGGTATAATAGTGTCGTTAAGCGATAGAGCATAAACATAGCGTGCATATATTCTTCTAGCAATTTATCGGTAGAAGATTGGTGGTGCATACACAATAAGGTAGAGCTATCTTACCAGAAAACAGCAGGCTATATACAATACATATACATACGTAACACTGTTCTTCCCCTACGTGAACATTTGTAAATTAGCGAACACGTAGAGAAGTAACGAGTTAAGAATTATTAATAATGGACGTAAACGAAAGGGAAGAATTGTGCGACATCAAATCGCGTTGGGCCTTCGTTAACGCGAAGCAATGTTTTCTATACGTATAAACGATATCGAAATAAATGTATTAAATATGAAATGTTCACAGCATTCTGTCCTTCGACGACGAAGATACGGATCCTACTTAATCCTTTTTTCTTTTTCTTGTCGTCCTTCGATCCCTGCGTCTCAAATGGGAGAGTCGAGAGGACAGAGGACCATCGGGAGCACCTGACCTTCGACCTTTCTCTCTTTACCCTGTTCCACAAGTCTCGGTGGCATCGCGAACGTGCCACTTGTCCGATTTGACACACCCTTGACCCGCGACGCCTATTTTCCTCGAGGGCCGCGCTTATTTACTACGTTGCACAGGCAACTAGTTACACGTAACCGTTCGGTTTTCAAAAGAAACTCGTCCAGCATCGACGTTCCCCGAATCAATTAGAAAGCGTCCGTGAGACGAGGTAAATTTTTAACGAGTAACGGTACGAGGAGCCCGAGTTTAATCGGAAATACGTTTGCGCAACGTGTTTGGATTTCTTTGAACGTGCGAAACCAAATTGGAGCCACAGAATTTATCACGAGATTCGAACGATTCGCGGAATCGTTGGCAAGCCGCGTTTTAGAGTATCGTTCACCGAGCAAGACAGTAAAGGCTCTTTTCAGCGCAGAAACAGTGGATTTTCCCTCGGTGCGATTGACGTTGACGCGATACAGAGAAAACCGAATTAGCAAACGTCATGCGGCGCGCATCCGGCTTTTATCCTATCTGGATGAAACGTGTATTTTGATCTTGCGCGCATCTATTTCCGCGCCTCACGCGGCTATTCTCGACCGCGCACCTTCGTTTTGCTTATGCACTTACCATCGCGCGATCCCAAAACCGTTCAGGGAAATGTTTAATTACAAGCAATTAATTAAATATGTATAAACACATGTTCACGGTGAGACCGTGAATTCTGCGGACAGAAAGTAGGGAAAGAAAGTTGTGGACGGCTCGTCGTCGTCGGGAATCTCGTCATCGATCCACCGGCCCGACGTCTATTTCCATGCAGGCTGGTCTATTTATAATATCCGGACAATGTTCCACTTTTATCGGCTAAGAAAGTAAGCGATCGCGCGCATCGGCAGCATTTCCGAAACACCGATTTCAAATCTCTCGCGTCTCGCTTGTTGATACCGATCCTATTCCCCGCAAGTATTTCTGAACGTGTTATTACGCGCCTGACGCGGCTGCGAGTTTTACGACCTCTCTTTCGGTTTGTTTGACGTCAAAGGAGCTCTCGAGAGACCAGTATAGTATTTCGCATTAGGAGAGAACCCGGCCGACAGAAAATCGAATTGGAAATAACCACTTACCAAAATTATAAGTTGTCATCGATCGAAGACGGTAAATTTGGGGATTTTGGGGACGAAATCCGGAGAATTTGGGGACGAGTGCCACAACCGGTCGAACTCGTCCACGAACGGTTTCACTAACCAATTTTGATTAGAGACTATCAGATTTTCCCAATTCCCAAAAAATGCAGCCATCGTCCAATTCATGCTACCGGTAATTATTATCTCTCTGTCGACGATCAAGAACTTGTGATGCATCATACCGTCGATCCGTTCTAATTTAACGGGGATTCCTGCAATCATCATAGGTTCAATTTTTATTCAAGGTTGAAACGGATCTGTTAGAGCATGTGTCGCATCGCTTGTTACCGTTAGAATGAAATGCCGCAACGTCTGACGAACGATTCTCAGCCGCGTGCGCGTCCAATATTACTCGCACGAGTACACCTCGTTTGTGAGCGTTTACAATTGCCTTTACTAACGACTGGCAAGTTAGCATGTATATACAAACGTCTAAACTGCGGCCTGCTTGATTTATGCAGCTTTCCAACTTTCTATAACGTTGTAGGTTTTCGTTAAATTCATTTAGATTCATTCGGGATGCGGTTAACGATCTTTACCTCATGTAGCGAACGGGGCAAGTGTCCCTGTCGCAGCTCAGGTCTCCGGAAACATGTACGCGGCAACTCTTCGATTCTTTAGAGAAAAACATCACCTCTGCGATGTTTCGTTCTAATTCGCGAACGTCACGGTTACGAATCATACGAGAGTAAAGTTTTTTAGAAAAATACCAAACAATCTCCGAGACCAAAACCATTACTCCTCCCATAAGAATTTTATTGACTCTCATTTTTTTATATGCGATGAATATGTTCCTTCAGTTGTCTTTGCTCGGGATCGATTTGTTGTGTGGGAAACAAAGGCTACGATCTATAGAACAATAACCTTCCTTAGCATTCAGAAACAGTATCCAGCATAGCCAGCTGGGTTTGCTCGCCAGGTATCAGCTGCTACTAAGGAGGGTCTCTCTCTCCATAGTCCGTACTTCTGTATAGTACATGTTCCAATGTCGACAACCGTTCACCATCAAATTCTCTAGCATACAATTTGTAGAAACGTGCGTAATATTGCGTACGTTCTTCATCCCATTTCATTCGTTAATTCGAATCCGAAGGAAAATTGATGGATAAAAATTGAATATTTTTCTTTATTATATCGTGTATAAAAGACATGCATGATAGAAAAGGCTTTCAGCTCTGGCCCATTTGTTTAGATATGAACTCTTTATCCCTGTTCCACAAAATATTGCATATAGCATTCAATTGATAAGAGCAATCGAACACTTCTGACCTCGTAGAGGGCCTATTAATATCTATTCTGATAACTTTCACTTTCCACTTGTCCTCGAATTCTTTTATCCTTGCGTCTTCTATTGTAGAAGTGGACCAAGCTTTGAATCTACAAAATGTCAATGCCAGTTAACTGTTCCTACTATTACAGAAAATAAAGAATCCTGTACGAATGAATTACTTTGTTCCTATCACTATGTTTGCCGGTTTCTCTTTTATAGCTGACATAGTATTCATCAAATATGGTACATCGTTAAACCCTGTTGCATCGTCGAAAGAGAACACAGAGCATATGGCATCTACTTTGTCTTTACAAGCCTAGAAACCCAAATGTTCCTTAAAACCTGCGATAATACAAACCTATCTACATTGATATCTTAATATTCTACATACAGGCAATATGTGATTGTACTTTTTAATGCTCGCTTCCGAGGTATCCCAAAACTGTAACTTGAACAACACGACTTTATCCCATATTTTAACTGGCCAGAATACGTTCGTCTTTTTTATTCCATTGGTCTCAGTATAATTTCCATATTCAAAAGCACCAGCAAGCCGAGCCACGACCGAGGTTTTTCCCACTCCGGATCTACCAACCATGAATATTTTATATGTAACTTCCTCGATTGAAGACGGCAAAGGTGGTCTTTCAAGAATACCTATAAGATTTTATAAGAATAAGTGGTTGACCAACGAAATTCTAATTGTTCTTCCTATTTGTATCCTACCATAAAACCTTCTCTTCTTCGATGTATTTACATAAAAGTGGTGCATCAATGATTCACCCTCCACTGAATGCAACCAATTTGTATTTATAGCGTTCATAATAGATAGAAGAAATTGAAACTCGGTAAATCATCAACAGACAATGAAGGTAACTAACAGAATACCACGTTATTCATAAAACTGAAATCACCACATAATGCATAGAATTTTATAATTTACATATACAATACATCGAGAAAAGATAAAAAGGAATCAACGAATAATCTTCTCTCTTTGAAATAACTAACGACTGCTAATGACACTGAGAAAATGTTATTAACCTGAAGTTGGTTGATCCCTTGAAGACTTCCGAACGGACAGTATGGGGACAAATAATTCCGTTAGCAGAGAAGTTGGCGACAGTTCAAATAAATGCCACATTGACCAATAAAATCCATTTACAACACGTAACGCGTTGTTTGCAGTTGTATCGCCATATTGTATATTTAACGCGGGTCACTGGCGCGTTTATGGGCTTTTCATGAGATTTTCTGCCGAGTAAAAGTGCGCGGACTAAAGAGGTAATCGTGATACATAACGCGAGATGGATCCGGAAAAGTTGAAAGTGACTGAGTTACGGACAGAGCTCGCGAAACGTAAACTCGACACGAAAGGCGTCAAGTCAGTGCTTGTCGCGAGACTTCGTAAGGCGATAGAAGAAGAAAATCCAAGCCGTAAGTCGTCCCCGCTCTATCCTCTGATCTCGGGCCGAACAGAATTCTCGACGGCGCGACGTTCCTCGCGCGACGATCGACGTTATTTGTACACTTCAATGTTGACAAACATTCCATTCAGGCGGCAATAATTCATTCGTCTATCTGTCGCTATTCCTTTCCAGTCAATCATCTTAGGACGGAAGATAATAAGCACCTCTCGTACTATTAATGATCAATCAATAGCTGGGTTTAATTCGTTTCCGATGTTTTCGAAACGTCGCATTACGTAGGCGCGAACTGTGCGCACATTTCATGTGTTTACGTGCCGAACTGTACACGCGCCGCCGCTAAACGTTTCTTCTATCGGCAACTAATTTTTTCTCGCTGTTCGCTACGATTATCTTATCATATGTTTGTTTAAATCCATAATTACAGCGACATGGCATTGAATCTTTTATCTGAATCGACATTACTATAATTATTTCATTTTTTCACTTAAATTCCATGCCCTCGTTTTTATTACATTAACGTAACACACTGCTTTTTCATTTTATAGAACCAAATCAGGAGAAGGCAAATGCCAGTGGGAAAGATTCGCAGGATGATAATGTTCAAGAGGATGAGGAGAAATCGTCGAGGGTACCCCAGACACTGAAAAAGTCTCCTAGATTGTCGAAAAATGTTGCTACTTCGCCACAGAAAACCTCTCCTGCAGTGACGAGACGAAGAACTTCTAGCAGACCTTCTAGTTACCTCGGTAGGAAGATGTCTCTAAAGAAATCAGATCAAAGTGACATCTCTCGTGAAACATCTCCGGAGGTATCAGACTCTGTTTTACAAGATGAGTCTTCTATGCAAGAGGATACTATGCCAGAAGAAACAAGCACACAAGATGAAGAGGCTCCTATGCAAGAAGAAACTCCTGCGCAGAGAGAAAAAACTCCTGTAAGAGAAGAGAAACCTGCATCTGTTGAGAAGGTCGAAGGGAAAGATGCAAAAGATTTGTTACCAAGTGCTGGAAATGAAAATGCTGTTTCTATGGAAGATATAAAAGAGAACAAAGCAAAAGCAACTGACGTTGCAAAAAGTAATGAAAATCAAAATACAAATGTTTTACAGCCATCGCCTGTAAAGTCACCTGTAAAATCGCCTGTAAAGTTGCCTTTAAAATCGCCTGTAAAATGTAGCAATACTGAAGTCCAGATTCCGAAAAAATCAGAGGATGATGACAATAGAATTGATCAAAAACAACCAACCACGGTGATTAAATCACCTCAGAAACCGCAGAACGTAGGTATTGAACAGAATGAAAGCACTGCTTCTGAAACTGATACAGTGCCTGGAATTAATGATACCTGTGATAATAAAGATGATATCGAGAAAGAAGAAGTAGACATGCAAGAAAAGAGCGCAGAATCTGTAGATGATAGTAACATTGTAGAATCAGTTGATGTTAGCAAAATGACTGAGACACCAGATGATGATAATACCGAAAAAGTCGTTGATGCTAATAAAACTGATATACCAGTTTATACAGTCGAAGAAGAAGAAGACGAAAGTATGGACATTAATGAGAACGATAAATTAAAGAACGAAGACCAGTTCGAGGGCACCAAGGAAACTTCACCCGTCAGCAAGAAAGAAATCGACAGTAGCGTCGATGTCAAAGAAGAAGGACAGGTATATTTTATAAATCAATTTTTAATTTTCACGACTGTGCTCACATTACCCTACAATTTAGATTAATCCGCGATCTCAGTAAAATGTAGAGAACCCGATCGTAATTCGTAACTTGATACTTGAATCCTACATTAAATTCAGAACGCAAATATGTCGGCATGCACCATAAGATCGCGGATAGTTTTTGAGGATTCTCATGTCCTCTACATTTCGTAACACGAGCACTATACCTACAGGAAATATTATTTTAATCATTGACATATTTTCATTTACGTGGAAAGGACGTAGAATTGAGCGAACTAAAACACGACGAAGATACAGATGTAGATATGAGAGAAGAAGCCTCGACCGAGGCCGTGAGTGACAAAAAGCGGAAGAGATCGCCTAGTCCTACGGAAGAAGAGCGTCACGATTCACCGCTGCCTATTTTTACCGAAAACGAGCCAGAGATTGACGAGTCTGCTTTGATTCTATCCTGGTGTACGTTGACGATCGAAAAAAATGAGAATTATTAATGAATCAACTCGTTTTTCTAACTTCTACTGTTTGCTCTTTCAGATGATTCAGATTTGAATTTGGTCATCGACAAAAATGGATTCTTTACTGCTACTCCCATGCACAACGACGGATTCTTGAACATGTGGGCCGGAGCGAGAGCTTCCTACGGATTTCTCTGCGGGAAAGTTTACTACGAAGCGAAGATAGTGGAACACTGTACCGCGGAAAACGAGGATCAACCGCATGTACTTAGAGTCGGTTGGTCTATCCCGAACACGTCTATGCAACTCGGCGAAGAGAAATTCAGTTTCGGGTACAACAGCACCGGGAAAAAGTTGACGGACAATCAATACGAAGACTATGGGACTGCATTTGGAAAGGACGATGTCATCGGTTGTTATTTCGACGCAACATCCGAAAATATTGTCCTCTCTTATAGTATTAATGGACAAGATCAGGGCATTGCGTTTAGCATATCTAAAGACGAGCTCGGCGACCAACCACTATTTCCACATGTTCTAAGTAAGAACTGCAGCTTCGCTTGCAACTTCGGTCAGGAGTCACCGTGGGCAGAACGAATTTTGGAAGGCTACGTCTCGATCGGGAACGTTGAGCCTCAGTACAAAATAGCTGGCCCGCGAAGACCGGAGAAGAAGAACGATTGCGAAGTGATAATGATTTGCGGTTTGCCTGCCTGCGGCAAGACTACCTGGGCGACGAAGTACGCGGCTGATCATCCACAGAAGATGTACAATATTTTAGGGATTAGTAGTTTAATCGACAAACTGAAAGATTCTGGATTATCTTACAAGAAGGAGCATGACGACCAATGGAAGACAATTGTCGACAGATGTACCGACGCATTAAATAAACTGATAGAACTGGCTGCAAGTAGAAGACGTAATTACATATTAGATCAGACAAACGTGTACCCTTCCATGCAGAGGCGCAAGATGAAGAACTTTTACGGATACCAGAGGAAAGCGGTCGTTATAGTACCGTCCGATGAGGAATTCAAGTCACGTATTGCGAAACATAAGCCGATCGATGGCACGGAGATCACGGATTCTCTGCTCTTGGAAATGAAATCAAGTTTCAGAGCTCCAGTCGTTGGTGAATCTTTCGACGAAGTTAATTGGATCGAACTGGATCAAGAAGAGGGCGGCAAACTTATGGAAGCGTACAATAAAGAAGGAAAGGACGCTGGTTACGGTGAACAGCAAATTAGTAAACGACCGCGAATCGATTCTAAATCTGACGACAACAATGATAGTCGAAACGACGCACGCAATCGCGATAACAGGGACAATCGAGATTATCGTGACAGACGAAATAATTGTAAGGATGGTACAGCGTATAAAAATCATTATAAATTATGAGACAACACTTTCCTCAACGAAAATAATATTTTCAGATTCAGACAGAAATCGAAATCCGATTTGGCGCGGCGGGGGCGGTGGTAATATGGGATGGAGAGACAGACCGCAAAGAGGAGGTGGACATGTAAGACATGGAACTGGTTATGGCCCTCCGATGCACCCACGGAGAAGAAGAGGCGCACCTATCCCACTGGTACATCGATCGATGAACAGAAGGGGTGGTAATATGGACAGACGAGGAGGAAATGACAGAGGTCGAGCACTGGTTTCTCGTCCAGGAGTGCGGCCAAGAGCTCACGGGTAATTTTGTTTATTTAGTTATTGATTTGCCATTTATTCAAATCGTTAATTATATTTTGTATCATAAGGAATTATCAAGGACAGCAACAGGCAGTATGGGGTGGCAACCAACAGGGCAGTTGGCAGAGCGGTCAATCCCAAGAAGGCTGGGGCCAACAACAAAGTAATTGGGGATCACAACCGTGGAGTAATAATTGGAAGTCGTACGGCCAAAGTTCGTACAATCAGAACAGTTACAATCCACAAGGTTATGGTAACGGGAATTGGAATAGTTGGAATCAGCAGTATTATAATCAGTATTGGGGTCAGCAGCAACAACAACAGAGCGGGCAGACTACGACTAGCGGACAAGCTTCGAACAAACAATAATCCACTAGGAGATATGAGTCAGAATGTGAGATACAAAGAGGTACGCGAGTACATTTGATTTCTTGTCGTAAATAGATGAAGAGAAATTGTAATGAGGTGAAGATAGAAAATGATCAACGTTAATAACATAGATGTATATTCTTCGTGCCGGAGAAATAGTGAATGTGGTTAATACAAGTTTTTGTTCTTTTCGTTAACACTGTTACTGATATAGCGTTTGTTCTAAGCATAAGTGATCTATTTCGTACGAGTATGTGCATTTTTTTTTCAGGCAGACAGAATGAAAAAGCACAACTGCTCTTATCTAACGATTCCAGAGAGATTTAGAGTTACCCGTGTGAATGGCAAAAAGGGTATATGGGCAATCTCTTGGTCACAGTGCAGTCATTACTGGGCATCGGTTCTGATTACACATAAATAGATGGACAAATTTTTTCACGACAATATATTCACAATCTTTTTTTCGTTCGTGTACTTTGCGATCTACGTATTTTAAAGTTATCCCGATTATGTAACTCGAGCAACAATTTAGATTTTTATCGAGTGAAGGCACCGTTATACATGCACCACATAAAGTTGATCCTTTTTTTGTCGTTTTTGAGGAACGTAATACATACTATATATTACAGGGTGTTCGACTACTGGTGGGAAAAATTTCAAGGGGTAATTCTACACACCAAGATAAATCAACAGTCAAGATTGCTTCCAAAGCGATTAGGGATTGCACCTGATGGTAGGCAAATTTGGCTACCGCCTGATGTCTGTTCTCAAAGACGACGTGTGCCTAAAATTCTGAATATTAAGATACTACTTGTATTTTAGGATCTCGGAAACAATTTTCGTACTCTTGACTTTTGCCTTATTTTGACTTCTAGAATCCCTTACAATTTTTCCCACCAGTAGCCGAACATCCCGTACGTGTAACGTGCGATATGAATTTATCGCAATAAATTATGTAACGACGAGATCGTATTCGTATTACATGCGTAGTTTTAAAATAAAAAAATAAGTAAAAGGGGGTAACGTACAAATGTCTTGTAACGTCTTTCAATTGAAAAATCGGTCAAGAGGAAGGACATCACGTATGGGTACACTATGCAATTAGAATTAAGAATAAAAATGTTTGCAATGAATAGTGGCTCGCGGAATAGGCTCGTGTAAATATGTACAGATTTTCAAACGTTCACTGGAAGTCTGTTTATATATTGATAATAAAATTGTATCATGTAATTCTAAAAAAAGATGTATTACACGAGAGTGATGATGTATATGATTTTTGTCTTATCTTTCTATACTAACTACGATGTACAAAAAGAAGAAAATATCGTCACGAATAAATTATTATTGGATTTTATTTATATGTACGCGCATTTTATTAAACTTCGTGAGATAACTAGATCATGCTTGCGAATCTGATGTTATATTTCGCCAGCTTGCTGTATGATCAACGATATGCTACTGTTACCCAACGTACTTCCTCCTGTTCCCTTTCTCACTTTTCGTTCGCTGTCGATCCCTTTCCTTTTTCGTACCTCTAATACTTTTATCACATAATACCCATTCCCTGCCCCCCGTTCTTTCTTTTACAACGATTTGCTACGTATTGTTTTTTCTCGTTACGCGACAAGCTTAAGAACGAAGCATAGTACCCGTTTTATTTTATGCTTAGCGATGTAAAAATTGTTTCTTCTCGTAGTTACAGGATGATTGTCTTCGTGCCTCCTTTTTCTAAAATACTTTGTACAGTTTTTGCGAGACTTCGAATTAAAGAGCTCCTCGAACATATTCAAACATGGTACAAAATGCAAAGTTTGGACAATGATTTTAAAAACGGAGACGCAGAAATATATTTAAATTTTAACCGCGATTCGAAGTCGACCAAGAAAGAACAAATGATAAAAATATTGTTTCAACAATCTTAAGTCAGGTCGAACCATTGAGCTATATAAAACATCTGGAGTGTGAACGAATGGGGGGGTACGTTCGTCGACGAAGAGGAACCGTGAAGGAATCTCTTTCTCTTTCTCTTTTTAGGTGTATAATGCAGGTTTTCTGAACCTGAACTCGGACGCGTATATGTCGAGTGATTGACAATGTTATAAATTCAAGTGATTCGATAGAATACTGAACTTCTATCCCCACGATAGTTAAAGTTACTACAAGATAATAGAAACAGAGAGAGAGAATATAAAAAGAAGGATAGAGATCCCCCATAGCTTCTCGCTTCTTGGAGCATCGTCGCTACTCTTCTATCTTATGACTTTTGACAGACGCGCACATTCCAGATATTTTATAACTCAATGGGTCGAACAATTGTTTTACTTTTCATGTACCATCGATTAAGAATAATTTCGCAGAATTCTTAGTACGTAATCGGAGAATTTACTTGACAAAAGTGTACAAACTTATTCGTAAAAATAAAAAATATCTTCTATTTATTTGAAGTTTTAAATTATTTACAACCCAGATTTGATCAGCGCAATTACCTGCTAGAAATATCCTGTAACAGTAATTCAGTCTTCACGCACGCTTAATGTAAATTCGTCAATATATGTTATCGATCGTAATCGTTGACCATCGTTAATCTACGAATACCAATTTAAATTAAAAAATGATTCGTGTACATATACGCGATACAGTTTCGTCTATAATGCATTCCGTGTAATTGCGCGGATATTTTATCGTGCATGATTACCGGTAAACCATAATATATATTTATATATATATGTGTGTGTGTGTGTGTGTGTGTATAAGCTCCTTATAATTTTCTGCTACCTCATACAGATTAAAATTTCATGATCCGCTAAAATAATATCAAGTTTTTGCGATTTATTTCCCCCAAATATATATGTAAGATAATTAATGGAAAAAGATGTTATTCTACAGACCTTTGAAATGTCGAGAAAACTTTCGAGACGATTTTATAATCTCATGTTCATCGCGCCCGGGGGAAAAATTTATAACAATAATTGTACGGAAAAAATTGCATTACAAAATTCAATGATCACTCATAAAAATCATTCACACGTTCCGTTTAACAACACCAAATTAGAATTTCAAATTCTACGTTTAGCTTCATAGATTTCTACTTAATTATACGCAAAGGTACCCTCGTTTTGTCATGCTATAATAAAAGATCGATTGCTCGCATTGATCGTACGGTGTGACTACGCTACACATCGGTATGGTTCCTATTTAAAACAAAATTGGATGATGATCGTCGTACCATCTTCATTTGATTAAAATATGATTCGGACAATGTGCAAATTAAAACCGTGTTAACGTATATAATGCAAATAAGACTTATGCATATTAAATACCTTTCAATATTATGTATTCGCTAACTGCGTGATATAATAATAAATACGAAATCCTGCGTATATTCGTCGTCATAGCGGTAGTTAGCCATATTCAATCGCGACAGTTAATAAATTAAATATGTTAGTAAAATTTTATCTATTAATTTAAAGACTTATATATATATTACAATTAATTCAAATAACACTGGGATTATGAAAAATATAATAGTACTTTTGT